ATTAAAGCTCCTTGAAATGAGTGTGTTGTGAATCGGCGCTATATAAATAAACTGAATTGAATTGAATGAAGCTGCCGATTACATCATATGTTGGGGCCATATATACAGTCTGCGATACAGTGAAGCTCGCATTCCTGCGTGTTGCATAGCCGACACTCTGGTCCAGAATCTGGCATATATGCCAGAGCGGCCCATGAAAACCTGTATTAATTATATAGCAATTGTCATATTAATCCAAAGGATCTTCTCGCAGTCTGTGCTCTCATTTATACTATCGCTAAGAATTAATCCAGTTCTGTGTTACTAGAAAGTCAGGATTGAGGCTGAAGTTGTCTCGCTAACCTAGTAACCTTACTTCATGGTACAGGCCTCGGGTCATCATGCTGCCCTAAACTTTACAACATCAAGCTACATGATTTGCTCTGATAAATATGATAAGTTCCTTTCCTGAACCTACAAAAATGTCATTAGCTTCAACATTAAAGCCTATTTGGTCAAATGCTGCAGTGATCACCCTACGTTGTGGGAAGAACGTCACTGCCTTGATCAGAAAGGAACAAAGAAAAAAAACCTCACCCGGCATTGATCTTCCTGGCGATCCTGGAGGGCCTGCCATTCCCTTAGGCCCTGTGTCACCACGACTACCCATTGAACCAGGTGGCCCAGGATCCCCATCATCCCCTGAAAGACATAGAACTCTCTGTCAAAATTGTCTGAAGAGTTCAAAATGCCAGAAACCAAACTAAGGGATCATTGTTGATGCATCAGTATGTTGATCTGTACCTTTGACATCATTGCCATTCTGAGGGAGACCTTTAGGGCCTGGTTCGCCAACACTGCCCTGGAAGCAAAGATCAAACCTATCAGGTAGAAAAACTAAACCAATTATGACTTGGTTGTTTCCTCAGGAATAATATATCTACATTTTTTTCTTTCTTAATTTTACCAGGAAGGTCTACCATGAACAGGCAGTTTTTGAGACAAATCTGGACTAACCTTAGCACCATCTTGACCTATCAAACCTGGAAGACCCTGGCTTCCTCTCATCCCCTGAAAGCCGAGAACACCTGTATTAGCTCAGCTTGATAGAACCAAGAATCATAAACACTACACCAGACTGGATCTTAACTTACTAACAGAACCTTTGTGCTACAACATACCTTATCACCTTTTCGTCCGAAAGGACCAGGTCGACCAGAATCCCCCTTTAAAGACAGATAGGAAAAGAGAGGACTGGTGCATTTACTGACGTCGTATACACTTATTTAGAACCGTTCATCGTGTGACAACTAAGAACGTACCCTGTCTCCTGGAAATCCAACAATCCCCTTCTCTCCTTTGATGCCAGGGGGGCCATCTTGACCCTGAAACCAGAGCAATTCATCCTCTTCACCTTCATAGATACTATAAATCATTACATGAAATGTTATTCTTCTCTGCCAATATTTAATTTTAAGAACTGGGATATTTCTAAACATCACATTAATAAAAGTGCAGCAGGAAGTGTTGGTGACTCAGAAGAGACAACTGGTGACTCAGAGGAGACAACTGCAATTTGGTGATTTGTTCTTACCGGGGGCCCTGGAATGCCAGGCATTCCTCTTTCTCCTAGAGATCCCTAAAAGAAAGAAGTGAATGTCACACTGATACCAAGGTCTAGGACAATCTGCATTTAGCATTAGAATTAAATAAATCTTGTTGGGAGAGACCTTGTAACACATCCCCCAGGCAAAAATTTATTAAACATGCAAAGATGAAACAGAGACTTTAAAGCAAAATATGAATATGTGAAACATGCAGTTAGTTCATAAAAGATCTGTAGTTGGAGTCTTAATGTAGCTGCAAAGCTGTACTGTACAGCTTTAGACACCACCAAGTGGTCTAAACTCATGTTATGGTGAATTTGGACAAAATAAGGTTTAGTTATCATGTCTTGCCCAAGTACAAAAAAAGAACAACTGAACTTTTTCATTTTTGACAAAATGAGGACAAAAACTAAAGAATTATTTCAATGCTGTCAGAACTAAATATAATTGTTTTATGATAGAGTATGTAACTGGAGTCCTCATAGATTTTATTAGATCTCACATGAAATATTTATTGTGAAAAGTAGTAGCAATACAAGAAATACAAAATAAACAAAAACTACCTCCACATTAAACAATAAAATCCAAAAATAAAAAAATAAAATTATCAATAAAATGTATCCTATTAACCCAGGATAGCAAGGAGGGTGCAGAAAATCAACAGAACACAGAAAAGTCCCCACAATATAAATTAACAAACAAAGAAAGATAACATCATCCAACCTTCTCTCCTTTGGGGTAGAAATTCTCTGGAGGTTCAATGAACTCAAACGGCCCTGGTTCACCCTGGGGTCCCTGTTCTCCCTGTGGATTACATAAAGTATTTATGCAAAGTTCTTATTGATAACTGGAAAATGTATTGATCTTTCAACCAGGTAATTACTACTGAAAAGATGAAAGAGTTGCACAAAAATGTGTTGGCAGTATCAGAGAGTGAAAATAAATGCAGTTTCTAATAAAGCCAAACAGTAAAAAAAGATGTCCTTAGAGTCCAGCAGAAGGTTGATCAACAAAATTGTCTAAAAACTGAGAAAATTAAGGCATTTTCATGTTTTCAGTTTTAGATGTACCTGACAAGCTTGTTTAAAGAGATTTAGTGTCATGATCTAACCTGACTCCGCCAGATGGATTTGCTCCGCATATCCATC